ATGAAACCGCTAACCGACCAACTTCGTGGAAATGCGAAATCCATTAATTTGGACGACACCGCACGAAAAGCATTCTCCACAGTTAAGTAACTGATTGCTGAAGCAACAATGCTCGCACATCAGGACACCGAAGCACCCATTAGTATCGCAGTAGACGCATCGGACTCAGTAATCGGTGGCGTCTTACAACAATGGGTTAACAACTCATGGCAACCCTTGGCATTTTTCTCTAGAAGGTTGCTAGACACCGAATCGAGGTACAGCACATTCGGTAGGGAACTCCTAGCTATGTATTGTGCTGTACGGCATTTCCAACACTATATCGAAGGCCGTGAATTCACTCTTTTCACGGACCATAAACCGCTCACTTTCTCGTTAAGCTCTCCTTCAGACAAGTACTCTCCCCGTGAGTCTCGACAACTGGACTACATTTTGCAGTTTACTTCAGATATTTAACACATCTCTGGAGCAAACAATGTAGTTGCAGACGCCTTATCTCGCATAACTTCCTTGAACAGTTTCCAAGGAATCGACCTTCTTAAACTCGCCGAGCTTCGAAAAGAAGACAGTGATCTTCAGCACGAGTTATCGTCCACAACACTTAAACTACGCATCAAACAGATGGGAACAGGTAAGGAAACCTTACTTTGTGACACATCTACAGGTAGGGATCGCCCAATCGTGCCGAAACATTATTGACACAACGTCTTCAATACGTTACACAAACTTTCTCATCCAGGTGTTCGTGCAACCATCAAGCTTATAGCAGAACGGTTTTGCTGGCCTGGCATGAATAAAGACGTGAGGGATTGGGCACGCTCCTGTGTAAGCTGCCAAAAATCTAAGGTCATCAGACACAATAAATGTCCCTTAGGCTCGTTTAAAACTCCCGATGCTCGTTTCGACCATGTTCATCTGGATTTGGTAGGACCTTTACCAGATTCAAATGGATACTCTTATCTCTTAACCTGCGTAGACCGTTTCACTCGATGGCCAGAAGCAGTACCTATCAAGGACATCACTGCTGAAACAGTGGCTCGCGCCTTCGTCGAACGATGGGTAGCAAACTTTGGCTGCCCTTCAACCATCACTACAGACCGCGGACGTCAGTTTGAATCCGATCTTTTCCGTCGTCTGACCACACTTTTAGGAATCAATCGCTTCCGAACGACCGCCTACCACCCACAAGCAAACGGGTTGGTAGAACGGTTTCACTGACAACTAAAAGCTTCACTATCAGCTGCAAACGTTTCACAGTGGATGGACGCTCTTCCACTCGTCTTACTAGGTATCCGCAATGCAGTGAAAGCTGACATTGGATACACTGCAGCTCAACTCGTTTATGGAACGACACTTCGAATTCCAGGAGAATTCGCGGATCCTTCGTCCTCTTCAATGAACATGGATCAACCTCCTACACGAACAGGCTTACAAACGCAATGCGTTCAGTTAAACAATTTTAATATGCTTATATATTTTTATTTTTATTTAAAAAAAACAAAAAACAAAGAAATTACTTTTTTTAACTCTATTACGTGTGCTTGAGTTTATTTTCCATTTTTTTAGCCGACATTGTGTTTGTACGCACATACGAGTGTATTTCGACATGCACTTACATTTTCTTTTTTCTTTTCCAGGACAGCTGGAAAAGAACGGTGACGTTTATGAGGAACTGAAATTTTCATTGTACATTTTCTATTTTTACTATGTTGTACCTCGGTCCCATATAGTAAGGAAAGACGGACCAGACGCTGCTAAACTTAGTAAGCTATCAGAAGAGTGTTTACCAACGACAAACTCGTTGGGTTTAAACTTCTGGCTGGCCACGTCTTAGGGTCGTCACTGCCCCACTAGGGGGGATTGATCTGTAGCGGTAAATAAATCCCCAAAATAAATAGCTCTAAGTTTTTCGACATTGGATGGTGACCATATGTTTTAGTGGACTCATCTAGCTGAAGGTGCTCGGTCATGCATCCACACCAGATCACATGTGGTAACGCTGTGCTCAACATCTACCGCAATCGCTAGCCAGATTAGATCAGAGAATTCCGATATGTTGGTAGTCGCCAAATACACTCTTCCGATTTCCTCGATTCTGTCTTTTGATTTCTCTGGGTGGGAACGAAATATATTAGAAGGTGTTACTGGTAAAAGTGTTGTCAAACACTGAATACCTGTGGCATCCTCACTTTCTTTTACTTGCTCCCTCTTTCAGTCCCCTTGAGATATGGAACGGGTGACTTCATCCTGCACCATCTTCAAAGCCATAAACATTCCAAAGGGACATAAGGTTGCGACATTTAGAAGCTCCCACCTTCAATGGACCTATCCTTGACCATCAGGTGCACATTTGCAACGCAACTTTCATGAAGCGCGCCAACTGTGGTACTGATTAAAACCATACTACATTCATATCTTATAAATTATCAACCCAGCTATGTAATTTACTATAGTGTGTATTGTGTCATTTGTATCATTTCGATCTTGCCTGTAAACTGGCATGCCTCATGTAACAAACTGTTATTTGAGAATAAATTATTATTACTATTATTAACTTGTTTCTTCAGATAGGTTATAGAATGACAAAATATATTACGTTTACGCGTTTCGATAGGTTACTCCCAAAATCTACCCACAGAACCGTAAAATGTTTTATGTGAATCGAAATAGTCCTACAAATCACAGTTGGTCCTGATTGGGTTACAGCTGCGACACGACACTACTGAGAAGTCGATTTGAAACAGGTAGAACGGAAATGCTTTGTGTTGTTATAAAAGATTAAAATACATATAACTTAACACTTAGTTGTGCAATATTATATATATATATAATATTCCGGCAATCAGAAGTTGTGCTATCTCGACTGATTGGTCGGTCGACGCGGATGGATCGATCAAAGACGAATGGAACAAGTTTAAGGCTACATTCGAGTCCGTAACGTCACCGTTTATCCCATGGTCAGCATGTAAGCTATCACATTGCCCTCCATGGATTAATAAGGATACCGGGAAGCAGTTAAAGCGTGGGGAACACTTCTGAGACTTATTCTTGTTGACAGGTCACGCGTAATTTAAGTGTGAGTACCAAAAATTCTGGAATATTTGTAAGAAAAGCGTAGCTAAATCCCGTACTACTTATGAACGACAGTTGGTATATGATAGCTGTACTTGTCCGAACCGATTGTTTTCGTATGTTAAACGGCGAATGAAACGTAATGATGGTATCCCCTCGTTACTGTTACACGAAAATTCAGATTTACTAGCTGGATCAGATCGGACAAAAGCTGAGACTTTTTCAAACTATTTTAGCGAAGTCTTCTCTACGTTTATCGTAACAAATACTTGTCCCACTCACACCGAGATACCAACCATTGAATCTGTACAGGTGACTGAGGAAAATGTCCTTCCGTTGATAACTAACCTCAAACCTGGTAAGATACCGGGCCCTGACGGCTTACATCCACAGTTGCTGTCATTTCTTGCGGACATTATTTCAAAACCGCTTGAGGCGCTCTTCAACACGTCCCTCTCACTCGCTCAACTCCCTAGAGATTGGTAAGACGCTATAGTCAGTCCTATATTTAAGGATGGTCAGATACAGATGGTATCTAACTACCAGCCTGTCAGTCTAACTAGCATGGTCGTTAAGTTGCTTGAAAAGATAATTCGGGTTAGGTTGCTAAGCCACATAGTTTCACACAATCTGTTAGCTCCTGAGCAACATGGAGTTTGTAACAAGCGTTCATGCTTGACTAACTTACTTATTACGAGAGAGGATTGGACAGCAGCCTTAGATAAAGGCCTGTCTGTCGGTGTGATATTCATAGATTTTAGCAAAGCATTTAACAAGGTTTAACATTTAGGTCTTATGCAGAAGCTTACGAGTTTCGGAATAATAGGTACTGTACAGGAGTGGATAGGCAACTTCTTGTATGACCGCAGACAGAGAGTAAGAGTCAACGGGACGCTATCCGATTGGAAGCCGGTCAAAAGTGGGGTACCCCAAGGCACTATCTTAGGCCCTCCGCTCTTCCTTCTCTACGTTAATGAGTTACCGCTGTTGCTTAGGTCGTCGACATTATTGTTTGCGGATGACGTAAAAATCTGGAGAACAATAAAAAGTGAGACTGATCATCTGGATCTTCAAGCTGACTTAGACGATTTAGTTAGATGTGCTCGGGAGTGGGGCTTAGAAATCAGTGCTAGGAAGTGTGTGCTAATGCACATCGGTCACGGTAAGTTACCATTATACTGTTGATGGTAAACCTCTTCCATGCGTTCAATAGCATAAAGACTTAGAAGTAATAATAAGTCATGACTTAAAAACAACTGCGCATTGCAGCGCAGCCGCTGTCAAAGGTTTTCGTGCGTTATGGTCACTTCACCGAGCATTCAAATGCTTTGACGAGGAAATGTTTCGAATTTTATATCCCACCTATGCAAGACCACACTTAGAGTACTGTATCCAAGCAGCTATCCCATGTCTGGTAAAGGATACCAACTCACTTTAGCGTGTCCAAGGCGTGGGAACGAAATTAGTGAAGGGTATTTCTAAACTCCCTTACGATGAGCGTTTAAAACGCCTAAACCTTTTCGCCTTGTCGTATCTTTGGACGCGAGGTGGCATTATACTGGCATTTCGTATCTTTAATTATGATTTGGGTGTTAATATGTCTTATCTTTTTGCCCCCTTCAGCACTAATAATCTCCGAGGTCATAGCAAGAAGGTTGATAAACCGCGATTTAATAAACTTAGAATGGGGTCCCGTTTTTCTCATCGAGTAGTCAATGATTGGAACGCCTTACCCGAACAAGTGGTATCAGTCCATCAGTGAATATTTTCAAGGAGAAGCTGGACCTTCACTGGAAAGCAATGTGTCAGGATTAATACAGGTTCACCAACCTACTATCCTTATTACTGAAGACTGAAGACTACTGCAGCACCGAATATTGAATCTTGAAATAATGTTGGCGACATAATTCACACTGGCTCAGATCGTTATGGATAAACGTGAGTTACTTTGTAGTTGTAAATCCCCTGCATTTTTCTTTGTATCTTTGAATGAGACCCTATTTTACCAAGCTATGTCGTAGTCTCAGTATTTTCTTACTTATCAGTCAAGTCGACTACATTGGGTTAATTATAATCCACGTATCGATAATATTATAAATATATGTCCTCTAAAGTACTACGAATAAACTAATGTTTGGCTTACGGAATACAAACAATATATCAGGAAATGTCCCTGAAAATATTGGTGTTGACCAGCTTGAATTTTTATGGAAACTCATCTAAAAATAAGGGAATTCCGTCAACAAACAATTAATATTTGTTGTGACTGACATGTGTCTGCTATGTTTATTATCTTTACATTTGGGTTAATTGCTAAAAGGACAGTCATTTCTTGATAGGAAATCTTATCGGTCACTTTCTAAGACACGTAGTTTAGACGTAATTGGTAGGGTAATGTAAAAGCCCTACTGATTTTACGTAAATCGTCCCTATGTCTGACATCAATCATAGCCGGTTGCATGTTTATGTACCTAGCTTTGAGTTTCAGTTTGCGTTGGTGTCATTAAATAGCCCAACGAACCGGAGTAAAGTCAGTAAGCTCGAGCATACAGATGTTCGACAGACAAGTGGCGTAGCTACTGATTCACCTCAACCTTTTCAAACTAGCTTTAAGTTACAGGTGGGTGCTATAATGTAACATATGATTGTCGAAATACAATAGAGAATGATCAGTCTGGAGTCGTTTGACCGAAACTAAAAATGTCGGAAATTCTTTTCTAATTAATTAGAAGGTGAATTTACCATGCCCTCCTACTTTATGTGACTCATTAACTGTTTAAACTTCGTCTTCGCCCTCTTGGTGCAAGTTTGGTGAGTTTTATCAAAGCTCATGTTCCTCATCTTTCGCTTGCATTTGGGGTATGTCAAAAGAAGTTGGTCTGATTGGTTTTTACTGGCTACTAGATTAGCATAGATCACATCCTTATCCGTATTGTTATCGTCTACATCAACTCCATTTTTGTTAACATGCCGAAAATATCGTTGACAGTGTATTTAATTGTAAGAGAAAGACATGACTCGAAATTCTTGATAGACATCCATTTACGAAATTTCGTTCAATTTTGCTGGAGTAATTAAAAATTACATCTAAAAGGGATTGCCTATATCAGTCGGTTGTAAAGACAAAGTATCTAAAGCATGTTTCACTTAGAAAGCATTAGTCTTCTAGGCAGTAAATAAAAACGAAAGATACGGGCGCTCGTTTCTGGTGATATTCAGCTAGATATATTTTTATTTTCATCTTTCAGCTCCTCCTCCTTACTCTCCTCCAACTGCGCCTTATCCAACTCAGGATCCATGTCCTTATCCCTTGTACCCACAAATTAACCAACCAACCAGTAATGTATTTATGGGATCTGGCTACCAACCTGCACCACCAGGCAAGCATTATTATTTATTAATTTGTCTATTTGTTGTTACGGTGTTGGAATACCCAGACATTATTGTTAGTTTCGTAGATTGGTGGATGTTATGAATCTCCTGTTTAGCAACGTGTTTTGAATAAAGAACTCTTGAACAGACAGTCACATCTATAATCGCATTTGTTTTCTTAATGCGGCAGTTGGTCCTGAGAATAATGATGACCCAACGGGGCTGGATTATTTTTTCAGTAAGGTCCTAACTTACAAACCATGTCGTCTGAGATGTGGTTAGACCACACACGCCAAGGACGAATTCCTGTTACCAACTGTCTTGTGTTTTAGTGACAATAGGGTGTCTGTCACGGGTACCTAGAGTCTAAAAGTAGTTCATCTATTACCTCTGAAAATCGTGACCTAGCAACGACAGCGGGAAAAACTGCAGCAGAGGTTACTATGATACGACTATATGACTCAACGAAAAGAAAAACTAGTAAGGAAATACGACAAACCAGAGAGACCGGTGAAGAATAAAGAACGCAAGCCAATCACTGAGATTCAAGAACAAAGGAACAGATGGATAGAACACTTTGAGGAACTCCATTTAATTCACCAGACATCGAAAAAGCGACACAGACCTTCCTATGACCGTTACTTCGCCAACGATGGAAGAAATCAGGGTGGTCATCAGACAGATCAGGAATGGGAAAGCAGCAGGACCTGGCAGTATACCACCTGAAGCACTAAAATTACACATAGGTAAGGTTGCCTAATTTCACCCTTTCTCTTTCATACGATAATTAATTGGATTCTGAAGACCTTCAAATTTCAGGAAGGCACGGAACACAGTGGGGAGTCGATGTAGCCAGACGATTTGGACTTTGCAGATGACTTAGCCCTTCTATCCCATCCACACCAACAAATGCAGGTCACGACAGCCAGTGTAGCAGGAGCCTTTGCATCAATAAGCCTCAACATACACAAGGGAAAAAGCAACATCCTCAACTATTATTATTCACAAACATCCCATGGGTACATAAGTGTTGTGAAGAAACCATTTCGAGTTTCTTCAAAAAATGCAGTAATACACAATTTTCAATAATGTCAGCATTATACTTGCCATTTAAAAAAAATTTAGAGTAATAATAGTAGAATAATAATAATAATAAATCGGGTCTGTGTAATCGAGAAGAATATTGAATTGAGTTTAAAGAAGGAAATGGGGAAAATAAGGGAATAGAAATAAAGGAGACGTGAAAAACGCAAACAGTCTAATAGGCGTGTTTACGAACACAGAACAAGAATAAACGACTATGTGTGTATAGTTAAATTAGTAACAAAAAATAATTAAGAAAAAAAACTTATAATTGCAGTAAGATATGACGCTAGAATAAATGTTTGTGCACTTATAGTTTAGAGTGATGCTATGAAAGTTACAATTAAATGAAAAGGATAATAAAATATCAATATGTATGAGTCATATATGCATAGTGAAGATAAAACGGGTCTGAGAAGTTAATTTAAGTGTAACACAAGTTATTGTTTTAATTACAAACTTCGTAATCTTAAGGATAATATTTATTTAGAGGGAAAGAAGAGAGAAAAGAAGTGAACACTTAGTGAAAAGTTTTGATCCATGATAAGAATAATAATTGTGTAATGAATATCATCCTCACAAGGAAACCAGCAATTGAAAAAAATAATAAAAATCCGTTAAAGCACTCGGATGAATACATTTAGATTTATGTAATAGTATACAGAGTGAAACCGGATATTAGCATAAATATTTATGCAATAATAATTAAGATTGATGCTATAAAAGTCAAAATTGATTTCAGAGGACAATCTGGAGTTAAATATGTTTATGAACACGGAGAACTTCAACCCAGTCACATTTGATGGAGAAACGCAAGACACTCAATGTCCGTTGAACGGGTGCCATCAGCAAAAACCTACTGTAGGAGAGAACAACCCAACTTCCAGCTGTAGAGGAAATTAGGAAACGACGGAGGTGGATAGGACATACATTGCAGAAATAATCGAACTGCATAACGAAGCAAGCGCTAACCATGTGTCGAAAATTGTAAGCACAAAAGTGGAAAACCGTAAATTGTTCGATTAGTGGCACGTTTGAACCTTGCATTAAAATAATACCGTATTTAATATAATGTATTTAAATATCACTGAATCCTATTATATAACTCACAAATAGCATTAAGATTAACACTTATAACAGAATGGGCGACCCTCAAAAAATGAGCCCGGAAAAGCACTGATCCTTTGCATAACAATGACTCTGTTATTCTCTACACGTCGTACCCAGTAACCCTTTTTGAAACAGATAATGTCGGTTGTGGAATTACGTCACACCTACTGCTGGATGACTCGGTCACTAATTGAATAACGAGTCCTACAAGAAGATAAAAAAGAATCGATAATATTAAGAGTGAATTAAACCAAATGTATGAGCAATTAGGCGATAAGCTTTCTAAAAGGAACTCACTCGTGGGCTCTTTATCAAAGCATGATAATACTAAGAATGAACTGAAAACACTATCACCCTTTAAACTGCCATTGTCGAAGGATGTGGTTCCTAAGGAACTTGAAGACATTATCAAAGTAGAATCTTTAATCTATTTTATTGCTAGAGAAGTTATTAGGCGAATGATCTCTCGAGACAACGCGATTAAGTATAACATAACTGACAAAATCGCCCTTAAGCCTGTAAGGGATTCGATACGAAAAGGAGCTAACCTTCAAAATAGCCTATGTCAATGCATTCGTCTTGATGAGGAGCACCAGAAATACTCATGCCCTATCTTCTTTAGATTCGATTCACATTTATAAACTGGACAACCTTATTTTTCCTACTTTGCAGTTGTATTAATTACTTTTTCCACCCCATTTCTTCACTTGAAGTAGACAGGTAACTCACTGGACCTATCATTACTGCTAAACTAAACTCGGTCGATAAGGGACACTCACTACCACCCTAAAAAGTCAAGAGAACCGCACAATCGGCTGCCTACTACCAGTGGTCTTGCATCTATGGAACCTGTTACCAATCAACTGGTTAAGACAACCGAAAATAACATCGGCACCAAGATACTGTGAGTTCCTTCCTGTTTATCCTGTATTAACTTTTTACTCTTCTGTACACTATGTTGACTAGCAATTAATATTATTTCTCCGCTCGTTCCCTTATCCACAACTCATATACTTCTATACTTTTTCCTCCTGCTTAAATAAACAACTATCCTACAATATACCCTTCTTAACGCTTATACTCTGTTTGGCATACTATAGACAACAGAGGCACTGCATCGATGCTTTACCCACAGTCCATAGCTTGTAACTGCCTGATAAGCTTGTAAAATGGTACTTATAGAAATAGTGCTTTCCAACAGGTTGTGAAACAGAGGATTGTGAGAGGTATGACGTATATACAAAAATAAGCCTAAATGAGCCTAACATCACAAAAGGAGGGAGGGTGGAGTTACTGACCAGCAAACATTGATGGTGAGGGCGATAACTTCAATCCACCCGTGTTTGTGGGGACAGAACATTTTGTATGTATCAGGCTCTTTATAATTGAGAATAAGACAGTCAATCTAAGATATAGATTGTCTTCCTACGCTCACCACTCAGACTCATGTTTCCAATAATATGCTGGATTAGCTATTCTACTAAGACAACCTATAACATGCTAACTCGGACTTTTACACTAGGATTGCGTGGCTGACATCGGATGGACAAAAAAATAAAAGAAAAAAGACAATAAAAGATATAGTCACTAGTATTCTTAACACTTCACCCTCTATATACACACCCTTCTAATAAACAGCTTCCCTTGTACCAACCTTGACTTCCCTTCCTTCATGTGAGCTTACTCCAACTTGTTAAACATCATAACTCGTTGTTCTTTATTAGTACATTCTCTAATATGGAGCCTCTGACTTCACTTCACTCTAACAAGACATTATATGAATTTATTCTAATTTATTATACCTCTGTCCGTTCTACTACACAATGTTAAGCAACCTTCGGCGTTCATATCCAAGTGCCTTGCTGCTCTTCTGTTTCTTTTTTTTCTCCTTCAGAATCTTGCTCTGAGAGCACAGCTATGAAACTTCTGACGTTTGGAGCAAACTTGACGTACGCGTCCTCCCAAGGTCATAGTTTACAGCAAGCGCTCTACGATTTCACTTTATAACAACTATAAACTTAATAAGTTGGGAAGCATTTTGCGAACCAACAAATGTTGTAATTTATAGATCATGCCTGTAAAAACGGTGTGTACCTGCACATGCAGAAATATATTGTTATTATTATTGGATCCAAACGGATAATCTGCGCGTTTATGACGTTTGAAAACGCTCGTATAGTCTCAGATAAAACCACCAATATAAGACTTACGCGAAAGCATACCTTGAACGAAAATAATGCCATTGAGTTTACAACAAACCCCGATGCTTCAGCATCAGGACCCACTGATATAATTAACCTATCTCATGTTACACAACACATAGATTTAACATGTGCACTGTTGCAACATGTGAAAGAAGCAACTAGATACGACCCGGACTCTAGATCATCCTTCATACGTCTTATTTTGACCCATTATGAGGATGACCTCAAAGACCCCGAATACATGCCCCCTAGGTAAAAGTGACCAGGGAGTTCTAACCTTGTCTTCCATATGCCTGTCAAAAACGAGCACACGTCAGCTCAGTCCAGACCTAACACCTGGAAAGCAAATATGCAAGATATTGTACACTCAGCATCGTCAGTAGATTGATCTATAGGGTCAGAGTCCCCAATTGAAAGAACGTGAGATGTATTTCGTAAATTACACTTATACGTTACTGCACTCCAAATCACGATTCAAACCGGATTCTTTCGGAAAAGCAGCATCGATTTAGAGAAGGTTATTCCTGTCTCACTAACTGAGTGGCTCGTGAACGTTGATGCGCTCTCGAAGACCAAAAGTTACCTATAGACGTAGCCTACACTGGCTTCAGCGAAGCCTTTGACAAAGTTCCTCACCACCGACTGTTACATAAATTAAGAAATGTCGAGATTGGAGGCAATCTATTATTGTTAATAAAAGACTTCC